ACTGGACCATAGCTGAACTGATAGCTTTTATCTTGGCGATACTCCCTTAAATGTTCCTTCGGCTGATTTAATCAAAGTTGTGAAGCACTTTTCAGAAAAGATATGCATAGAAATCGATAAGTATTTGTATAATGATGGTGTAAAGACAAAGACATCTAACATGTGACTTCAAGACTACAGATTTCAAGTGTTCAGTTCGGCTTCATTTGAATTTATTCGTACAGGTCGTGTAAGTGTGAATGACATCGGATCAAGCAAAGCAAGATTTTGAAAATAGAGGTCCAATGTTGTAATATTGTATTAAATTCATCAATAAAAGATATTGCTTTTTATTTAGTATTATGAGATCATAAAGAATCCTCGTTTTGCTGTTTAGTTCACATATACATGTAGAATTGAAGAATAGTTTTTGATAAATGGATATTATCAATTAGCAAGATCTACTTTGAAATTAGAGGTCCGATGTTGACCGTAAATAACATTAAAGTTGATATATTTTCCAAGATAAACTGAAAAGAAACAAATTTAGTTTCTACTCAACAATTATAAGCAAATTAAATCTTACCAATATGAAGAAGGTTTTCTCGAGGGTAATAAAGTCTCCTATTTTGACACCATTGTAAGGTCCAGCAACTCGATCCATGATCTCCATAATCTGGAGGAAAGGCAAACTCATCAATATAATAAGTCTTTCCATAGCTTTTCTGTACTCTACAATTGATTTGTTTAAGGAAATTCAAAATATCAATTATAGACTTTACCTTGCTCATCGTATTCACTGAAAATTTACCGATAATCGTTAGTTGATGCAGTCTAATCGTTAACTTGTCTAGCTAGTAATGGAAATACGAACCAAAACTATTGTTGAATCAAAAGCAAGTGATTGTTACTTACCTCTGTGATAAAATTGCCTAAGACAAAACCAAAGACGCCAATAGTCGGAAGGATAAAAACGCCGATAATTGTGAGTAAATTTGCTAAGAAATCGCTGTAAACTCTTACAATAACTCCAAGGAAAATGTATATATCACCTACAAAAGAATAACCAATGACATAACTGAAAATAACATATCGTAACTTGAAAGAAGCCATCTCAAAGCTATTCAAACGACGGATAATTAGCAAACAAAATGATTGAATATCCTTTTCTGTATATTTTAAGACATTGTTGTTTTCCAATAATAAGTTAGCCCAATCAAGTAGGTCGAGAAACTGAAACAAATGAAATGAAAACGCACACAAAATATACCAGCCAAACCCTAGGATATGGTTCAAAAGGAATGCAGCAGCAAATATAACAGAGAATAACCAGAAAGTACCGAAAAAAGCTAATCTAGGAATCTTGTATGTCCATGGATTGGTTAGTAATGGTGTAAAAAACAAGATCGTCATAAAAATCGGAACAGTTACCATCGCATAATATAAAATAAGAGAAACGAAAAATATTGTCGATCGAAATCTTTGGATGTTTCGATTTCTCATACGTCGGGTAATCAGATTGAAACCATCTTTATAATCATTGCATATGGACAGTACTTGCAATTTACCTTTAGCTTCAAGGTTTAATACCCATTCTCGGAATGCAAACATTATTGCAATGGCCATTGAAGTCCAAGTCAGACAAGCAATACGATCTTTGCTACGGAAAAAAAAGTCTCCAAGATAAATGGCAACAGTTTCGTTGGTATTGAAAATGAGCACAGTCATTCGCAGCACATTGACCAGAGAGACGAATGCTATGACCCAGTCCATCAATTTAAGTCGACGATAACCAATCGCATTTAAATAGGGAATGTTAGTTTGATTAAAACCTATGCGAACAACTTGAAAGATAATTGTTAATCTTTCCGTTCGTCTCACAATATTACGTACTTTTGAGCGCAACGCATTTGAATCTAAAATTGCGATGAAATAAGAAGATATTGCATTCAAATAGTTTGAAAAGTAGTTTAGTATTTTATTGTCAACTCTTTTTGCAGCAACATCCATCATTTGCTTTTCATTGAAAATGAAACTGAATCATAATGTAACTCACATTATATTCAATTTGAAACTAATAAACATAAACTTCGCTGAAAGACTAGTTTAAAGTACATTAACTTTTTTATTATTTACAAATCTCAAATGTTATGATCATTACTAATAAATTGTCAATATTGTTGAAAGACAATCGTTAAATGATTTGTTTTCCTAAGACGAAAACTTTCAGCATAATAATATTATACACCAATGTTGTCCCATGTAGCATATTTTTCGCAATTTTCATTGATGGTTATTCAATCAATCGATTCAAGATAAAGATTTAAGTTGAAATTAGAGGTCTAACGTTGATCGTGATTAGCATTAAAGTTGTTATATTTTCCAAGATGAACTAAAAAGAAACAAATTCAGATTTTAATCGACAGCAATTATAATTCAATGAAATCTCACCAATATGAAGAAGGTTTTCTCGAGAGTAATAAAGTCTCCTATTTTGACTCCATTGTATGGTCCAGCAACTCGATCCATGATCTCCAAAACCTGAAAAGGTCAAATTCATCAATATTTTAAACCTTTAAATAATTTTCCATCAATATTTTTAACAATTTATATCAATGTTTATAAATTCAATATTTAAGTTTTATTTTACCTTACTCATCGTATTCACTGAAAATTTACCTCTAATCGTTAGCTGGTGCAGTTTAATGGTTAACTTGTCAAGCTAATGATGAAAATTTAAAGCAAAATCAATATCAAATAAAAGAAAAATGGTTATTGATTACCTCTGTAATCAATTTTCCGAAAGCAAGACCAAAGAACCCAAGAGTCGGCAGAATAAAAATGCCGAAAATTGCTACTAAATCTGCAAAAAAGTTGCTGTAAACTCGAACAATAACACCAAGGAAAATGTACACATCGCCTGCTGCAGAGTACACAATGACATAACATAAAAATATGTATCGTAACTTGAAAGCAGCTAGCTCAAAGCTATTGAGACGACGGATAACTAATAAACTAAAAAATTGAATATCCTTTTCAGTGTATAAATTTTTATTAGTTTGCTTTAATAAGAAATCAGCAAAATCGAGCAAATCGAGTAATCGAAAGAGATGAAATATAAGCACACATAAAATGTACCAGCCAAATCCAAGGATTGAGTTTAAAAGGAATGTAACAGCAAAAATAACTGAAAATGACCAGATGATACCGAAAAAAGCCAACTTTGGAACCTTATATGTGCAAGGATTGGTAAGTATCGGCGTAAAAAACAGAAACGACAAAAAAATAGGAAGACCTATCATAACGTTATGAAATACAAGAGAAACGAAATATATGCTGAATCGAAATCGCTTCATGTTACGATTACTCATACGCAAGTTAGCCAGTTTGGCACCATCTCGGTACTCCTTCCATATTGATAGTACTTTCAATTTGCCTTTAGCTTCAAGGTACAGTATCCATTCTCGGAAAATAAAGTTTACAAAAATGGTCAGTGCACACCATGTTAACAATGGCAGTCGATCTTTACTTCGAAAGAAAGGGTCGCCAAGATAAAAGGCAATAGTATCGTTAGTATTGAATATGAGTAAAGTGGCTCTTAACACATTGACCAGTGAATTGATCGCTATGATCCAGTCTACCCAGTTAAGTCGACGATAACGCAATCTGTTTACATTTGTATCAGTCTGATTCAAACCATTGCGGACAACTTGAAAGTTTATTGTCAATCTTTCCGTTCGTCTAACATAATCCCAAACTTTTGAGTCAAACTCACTTGAATCTGGAATTGTTTTTAAATAAGAAAAAAATTGCTTTAAATTTTTAAAAAAGTTTTCTAGCATTTTATAAACATTATAAAAACTTTTTGCTATTACAGGCATCATTTGCTTTTCATCGAGTGAAAAACAAACTGACAATTGTGAATGAGAATGAATCTTGAATTATATTCTATCTTGAATATTTTCAATTTATTAATTCTTAATGTATAATCATTATCAAGTAAATTTATTACCCAAAATTGTTTAAAGATGAGTTCGAAAGTATATTAAATTGCATCTTTTATTATTCACGATGTTCATACTGTTATATTCATCATTATACTCTTTATATCGTTAAGAGACGATCGAAGTTTTAAAATCTTTATTAGTTTAAAAGTTGAAAACATAGCATAAAATATCGTAACTTGAACGAAACCGCTCGAAGCTATTGATGAAGCGGATAATATTGTACAATAAGTAAATCGAATGATTGAAGATTCTTTTCAGCATGTATCATGACATTAATTTTGTTTAAGCCGCCCAATTAAGTAGAGCAACCTGAAGGAATGCAATTGCTAGGTTTTCGCCAGACCAATCTTCAGTGGATATTTACTTTGACTTTACTTCGTATATCGAATAAAACATCATAAAAGTTACTAACAATGAAAAAGCCGTTTTGCAATATCTCCATTAGTCCATTCGCTAAAATATTGTGCAGTAACTTTTGCCACACCAGCATTTACCTAATCTCTGTATTCCTTTGTTTGTTTTCAATCTTTGAAACTTGATTCTCTTTTTGAATTGCTAGTGGTCATCCTTGGCTTTTACAAAAAAATTTGAGGAGTGAGCTACATGTGTATGTACTAGGTTGGATATCATGTTTTTGAGCAATAAAGATGAAGGGCTGAGATGAAACTTGTGCAACAAAGTGGAGGGAAACTTCAGATACCTTTCTTTTGACTGTTCATTGTACTTAAATTGTTAAGTATTTTTGATTGTTACAATAATTTTTATTGTTTATTCAGTTTTGAATATATAATTGATCATTGATCAGTTTTACAATCTACTTACTTATAGTTTACTTATCAATATAACATTTTATTAGAGAGAGAGCATTTTTGATGAGTAAATTCAATCAATCAGAGGTCCAATGTTGCACGTAAATAGCATTAAAGTTGAAATATTTTCCAAAATGAACTAGAAAGAAACAAATTTAGATTTTGGTCAACAACAACAATGCACATAAAATCTTACTAATATGAAGAAGGTTTTCTCGAGAGTAAGAAAGTCTCCTATTTTGACTCCATTGTATGGTCCAGCAACTCGATTCATGATCTCCATAACCTGCAAGGAAAATCAAATTCATCAATATTATGAATCTTTTAATAGTATTTCTATCCTTATAAATTACTGTCATTTTATTGAAATTCAATAAATAAATAATACTTTACCTTGCTCATTGTATTCACTGAAAATTTACCCTTAAAGGTTAGTCGGTGCAATCTAATCGTTAACTTGTCAAGCTAATGAGATGAAATAGAGCAAAAATCAATATTGTATCAAAGGTGCCTGATAACTAATTACCTCTGTGACTAAATTGCCAAAAACAAGACCAAAGAGTCCGATGATCGGAAGAATAAAAATGCCGATTGTTGCGAGTAAATTCGCGAAAAAATTATTGTAAACACGAACAATGACTCCAAGAAAAATGTAAACATCTCCTGCTAATGAGTAGACAAAAACATAACACAACAAGATATATCGTAACTTGGATGCAGCTAACTCAAAACTATTGAGACGACTGATGATCAGGCAACAGAATGTTTGAATATCCTTTTCAGTGTATGTCAGGGCATTTGTTTTGTGCAATAAGAAGTCAGCCAAATCGAGCAAATCGAGCAATCGAAAGAGATGGAAAGTGAGTGCACACAAAACAAACCAGCCAAAACCTAAGATTGAGTTTAAGATGAAAGTAATGGCAAAGATAACTGAGAATGACCAGACAATACCAAAGAAAGCTAATTTTGGAATCTTATATGTCCAAGGATTGGTGAATATCGGCGTAAAAAACAGAATCGACAAGAAAATAGGAACAACTATCATAACGTTTGAAAATACAAGAGAGACGAAATATATGCTGAATCGAAATCTTTTGATGTTACGATTATTCATTCGCAAGTTAACCAGGTTGAAACCATCACGGCAAACCTTCCATATAGATAGCACTTCGAATTTTCCTTTGGCTTCGAGGTATAAAATCCATTCTCGAAACGTAAACATTATTGCAATCGCCATTGCAGCCCATGTTAACAATGGTAGTCGATCCTTGCTACGAAATAAAGGATCACCAAGGTAAAAGGCAATATCGTCATTAGTGTTGAAAAAGAGAACAGTGAATCTCAATGAATTGACCAGTGAAGTGATTGCTATGATCCAGTCTATCAATTTAAGTCGACGATAACCGAATGCGTTCACAGAATTTATATTAGTTTGGCTTAAACCATTGCGAACAACTTGGAAGATTATTGTCAATCTTTCTGTTCGTCTAACTAAATCCCAAACTTTCGAGTCAAACTCATTCGAATCAGGAATCGCTATCAAATACGAACAAAGTTGCTTTAAATTTTTCAAAAAGTAGACTTTCACTTTAAAATCTAGACTTTTAGCATTTGCAACCATATTTGCCTTTCATTGACTGAAAATAAATGAAATGAAAATGAAAGTATACTTTAAATCGTAAAAATTTCATTTTGCATTTTCAATTTTTAATATCATAATCATTGTGAAATAAATTTTCCCATTATTGATCAGAGACGTAATATTAAAAGTTATTTTCATAATGTGAGTTGAGACAGAAGTTGAACAAAAGCAGCTTTATAGCGCTTAAACTTGCGCTACTTTATTGATTCTTGATTATAAGAAAACGAGGTGCAATATTTCGTTTATATCTCAATACTACTGATGATTGTGATTCAATGATTCTGTCCTGTTGTTGGAGTCTGTAAGAAGTCCAGACAGCTCTTCGATTTCTCCGATCAATTTCAATCTTTGCTTTTTTATACTTCTCTCTTTGACTTAAAAATTTATCTTGGTATTCCTTGGAAGCAGATAGGTCTGGATACAAATTAGTTGAAAATTTTCATTATACCATTATAGTATTTCATATTTTTTCAGTTTTGTTGTGTTCATCTAATACATCAGAGTGTTATGAAGTAAAAAAATCGACACACGTAATTTATTACAAATAGATATTTAGTCACAAAAAACATTGACTGATGTTAACTCGCTTACATATCACAGAGATCATTTCGATTATGAATTGAGAAACAAATAATTTAAGTATCAAGCAGAGGGCCAATGTTGACCGTAAACAGCATTAAAGTTGAGATATTTTCCAAGATGAACTAAAAGAAAACAAAGTTTAGATTTCAATCAACAACAATTAAACCATGCTATAAAATCTCACCAATATGAAGAAGGTTTTATTGACAGTAAGAAAGTCTCCTACTTTGACACCCTTGTATGGTCCAGCAACTCGATCCAAGATCTCCAAAGCCTGAGCAAAGACAATCCTTCTCTGCTCAGATCAAAAAGAGATCGCTTCGATTTTCAGTTAAATTGACCGCTTTCAGTAACCGCTTGAGTTAGAGATCTGAAACTCATTTTTTACCGGCAAAACTCATGGGTGAACATGTTGAGTCAGCCAATTTTTTCGAATTTAAAAAATCGAAGTGATCTGTTTTTGATCTGAACAGAGAATTTTTCATTGAAATTAACTGCATTTTCTGGTTAATCAGCAAAAGTTACACCAGAAAAATGAGTTTCATGAAAAAATCTGGTTTTATTATTGAAATAAAGACGATCGAAGCTTCAACTTTGACCTCAATTTTATCGAAAACTGGCGACTCAAACAAATTTACAATAGCACTGATAGCTTCAGTTTTTATACCCCTAAAAACTCACAAAGTCCCAACTCTTAGCGGTGCAAACGAAGTTTTTGGACATTGTCCTTTATTTATAAACGTTAGTGAATTTATATGAAGTTTATGCACTCTGGAGTAAAATATACAGATACAGAGGTTTTTTTATATTATTAAGTAAATTACTGAGATAAATTAATTTTTTTGAAACGAGTTGATTATTCGAAATCGTGGTTTGCGAATACACAAAATAAAATTGCCATTAATAATGAGTTTGGGCTCCATTAAGAGTTACAACTTCAAACAAACTATTATTCACGCTTTCTATAAGTTTTTTCAATAATTCTGGCTCGAGATTGTACATTGTACAAGAATATATTAACAGGAATAATTTTATATTAATGAGTTCAATCAATCATCAAGATTCAAGTTTGGATCAGAGGTCCTATGTTTACCGTAAACAACATTAAAATTGATATATTTTCCAAAATGAACTGAAAGAAAACAAATTCAGATTTTAATCTACAATTCACATGCAATAAAATCTTACCAATATGAAGAAGGTTTTCTCCAGAGTAATAAAGTCTCCTATTTTGACACCATTGCTATGTCCAGTAACTCGATCCATGATCTCCAAAGCCTGAAAGAAGTAGTCAAACTCATAAAAATTAGGCATCTTTCAATAGCATTTCCATCCTTATAAATCAATACCCAATTTTATTAAAATTGAATAAAAAAATTATACTTACTTTGTTCGCTGTATTGACAGAGAGTTTACTCTTCAAGGTAAGTTGATGCAATTTAATAGTCAACTTGTCAAGCTAATGGAAATGCAAGCAAAATCAATATCAAAGGCAATTCAAGTGATTGATGATTACCTGTGTAATGAAATTTCCGAAGACAAGACCAACGACTCCAATAGCGGGCAGTACCACAATACCGATAGTTGCAAATAAATTTGCAAAAAAATTGCTATAAACTTTTACAATAAGCCCAAGATAAATGTATACATCAGCCGCCACTGCAAAGACAAAAAAATAAACTAAAAAAACATATCGTAACTTGGTAGCAGCCGAATCAAAACTATTGAGACGATGGATAATTAATGAACAAAAGGATTGAATATCCTTATCAGTGCCATCAGTTTTGTTCAATAAAAAGGACAGTTCGCTGTGAACGCTCACATCGACTGCGCA